AGTTATTTATTCAATGACTTATTTTGTGTTCACAGAATTTGAACAAGAAAGTTTATTATAAAAGTCATTAGAAAAGAAAAAGAAAAAATGACAAGTTTGAAATGGATATAGATAAGCAACTTTTAAAAGGTGTTGACGTAATATTCTGTTAAAAGACCCATGGAATCCCTAATTAATATTTAGTCAATATGTCAAACTACCTGAAATTTAATAATATATATACGAAGGAAAAAAAAAAAAAGAGTAGTTATGACTCATGAGAGTGACGCCAATGTGGGGGTGATTAAAGATTCTCTAATACTCAAATAAACATATATAAAACATTTTCAATATATATATACATTTTTTTTAATTTACAAAATGTCCAACTTTTTTAGTTGACAAGTCGACAATTTACTATATTAATATAAAGAGAGGAGATTCAAACTTGTGTGCAAAGGGACAGACGCACTGCTCTAACTAACTAGCGACATTTACTACAGTGTGTTCACATTTTTCAACAGCTTAGAATTTCATATAATATGGTGTTTGATTTATTATAGATTTCTTCTTGGGTATTAGGGTTGTGTTTCAAATCCCCAACCCAAATATGTAGAGATCGTTAATCTAGTTCATTACCTCTGCTTGTACATATGGTATTAGGATACTAATTATTTGTTGAACTCAATCTTTTTCCTCAAACACGAGCAACATAACAGTTACAACCACCAACCAACCAGAAGCCCCTTGCCGCCATTTCGTCTGAGTTATGGGGGAAAGTTGACTTCTTGTGCCTTCTTCCTCAACCACCAGCACAACTCCTGATCAAGATCACTTAAGCCTTTTGTGATAAAACCTCACACTTATTGGAACTTGCAATGTTATTTTATGATCAGAATTGTCTATCTTCTTAAGCCACCTTTTAAAAATCATCTCCTATAGATTTCTTCTTGGGTATTAGGGTTGTGTTTCAAATCCCCAACCCAAATATGTAGAGATCGTTAATCTAGTTCATTACCTCTGCTTGTACATATGGTATTAGGATACTAATTATTTGTTGAACTCAATCTTTTTCCTCAAACACGAGCAACATAACAGTTACAACCACCAACCAACCAGAAGCCCCTTGCCGCCATTTCGTCTGAGTTATGGGGGAAAGTTGACTTCTTGTGCCTTCTTCCTCAACCACCAGCACAACTCCTGATCAAGATCACTTAAGCCTTTTGTGATAAAACCTCACACTTATTGGAACATGCAATGTTATTTTATGATCAGAATTGTCTATCTTCTTAAGCCACCTTTTAAAAATCATCTCCCAACCAAATTAGAAATCATTTAGGTATTTAATTGTTATCAACTAAATAGACAAATCTAGTGTTTTGATCAAACATTGAAATATCACATTGTTAATTCAATGGACCATTTTCACTCACTATTTTTTGGGCATTAATGATCCTTGACAAATGACATCGAAAATGATATTGTATTCAATTATCAAACAACTTTGTATATTGAGAAGGACAACAAAGAATATAAAATTAAGGTTGCAAGCATTCCCCGACCAATGACCAATGAAACTCTATGTTGAAATTTCAATAGTTGAAATATATATTAACAATATGTCATAACAGGGTTTCTATTGTTTTCCTCTTCTCACCTTTTAGGCTTTTACACCCCATTAATCATAGGGGCATGGAGTATGCAGCAAGCTTATTAGGAAATGGTGGGTTCCAACGCATTTTAAAATTTGCAACTGGTTCCCTCCATCTCTCCATTGGTGTCTGCTGTTATTGGGGTCCATTTGGTCGTTTAATATAACACATAAACCAAAAGCAACAATCTTGTCGACATTTAATACCAACAAGTTTGGTAAAGGGGTAAGATTGGAACCTTGATCATCCCTACCCTAGTTACTAATTCTTCACTGAAACTAAATAGTGATATGAATGCAGGTTTCATATTAATTCGGTTTTGGAAACTTGGAATGAATGCTTCAAAGATCTTTGACCCAAAATACTGATAAAATATCAATGGGACCCAACCCAACCTAACCCAACCCAATTAGCTAGGCTTTGTTTATTCAAACTTAGATACAAGGATTGCTTACATCCCCAAAGAATATATTTTTTTTGTAGCAAGGGATAAGAGAGGGATTAAAATAAAGAATTTGAAACACCTTTTGCTCAATTCTTTCATTGCTGAGAAGGGAAGGGATTGAAATCTTGACTCATAAACTATATGAAAAATACTTCCCCCCATATTCACAGGGATTATAATTATAGGACTCATATCCATCTGTTTGCTTTCCCGCCACAGAAATATGGGGTCATGGGTGGGTGGGACCCAGAAAAATTGCACAAAGAAAATGCATTGGACAAAGAAATGTGCTGCCGTGTAGATGTATCATGTATTTGTACCGAGACAGCAATGTTACAAAAATTAACGTAATAAACCAGAAAAATCGCAGATACGGGTCCCGCCCAGTAGCCATGTCAGCAGTCATGTCAGCCTCGTCCGACAAACCTATGTCTCATTTTGTGTTGTTTTTTTGGTTACATTGGAGGAAAGAAACCCCACTGGGGTTCGATCCTGGGTGCCATAGGGGGAAGGGGGAATCCACCACCACTGTGGTGGGAACCCATTGGCTCATTTTGTGTTGTTAATGCATAATATTAAGCTTAATTGCCATTAGATATTTTACGATAATAAATAATAAAATTGCCTCGTCAACAAGGAAAATGGCCACATTTAATGTAACGCCGCCCCACCATGCACTTGTGGCCCCACTGGCACTGCCACCCGGTTCTTTCTTTCTGTTTACGGGGTTTACGGTGACAGCGACGTCGTTTCAGCATTCAGTCACTAACCCAAGTCGTAGGGCATGTGAGTGAGAGAGTACTCTATGGTAGTAGTAGTAGTTTGGTTGATGTGTGATGTGACCCTTGGTCGGCCAGGTCACTTTATTTTTATTTTTATTTTTTTCCTGGAAAATATTGCTAATTTCGCCAAGGGTATTTCCGTAACGTCATGGTGGAAATTTTTATTAGAAAGTTTTTGGCGCTCCTTTTTATTGTTAGTACTTTGATTTCATACTTGTTGTCAATTCACAGCCACATAGTCGAATTCTTAAACTTAACTTTTGTATGAAATTAATTAAACCTTCATTCACCTTTGATAGATATAGTGGGTCTAAAGAAACTCATACGTCTTTAAAGTCTCAACTATCACAAATGTTAACTACTCGAATTCTATTTTTTTGTTATAAAAATTTTGGGTTTGGATTCATAATTCAATCAAAAAAATCACTAATCACAAAGGACCATTACAATAACGGAACGGTCTAACATCAAAATTAAGATAATCTAGTGCTCATTCACTAACGATCACGCAGAATCGAAGAAACTTTGGCATAGACATTCCAACTAAGATTGCAAACTCAGAATAATTAAAGAAAGATAAAGCTTGAAAAAATCAAATTCGGTCTAACTACTCAAATTATAATTCATTAGAAACGCTTAATTTACAGATAATTAATCATGTCCAAAGTTCACTTTGAAATATTATACGCACTTGATAGGAAGGTGAAATGTGAAGTTTGAAAAATCAAATTCGGTCTAACTACTCAAATTATAAATAAATAAAAATTATTTAAGTGAACTTATTTACAAGCTGTTCTTGCTTCATCTTATGTAGAGTCGCATAAACAATAAAAAAAAATGAAGTTATATAATACTTTATCCATTCAGTCGAGAATTGAGAAATGAATAAGAAATGAACGAATGCATGAAAATGGTAGATGACTAGTTGAGTTTGAATCTTTGTATTATTCAAACAAAGATACAATTATAATATTTTAAAAAATCTTGAATGCTTTCGATATATTCGCATTGTTTGTTCAACTTTGGGAACCTTAAACAAATAATAAATAAACCAATAATAGTTGTATATATGCATTGTCAATAGGCCTTGATAAAAAATTTATGGAAATCTAATAAATTACTCCTCTCTCTTCAATCAACCCCCAAAATCTGGTCAAATCCATGTTCTTAAGATTTCATTCATTCATTTGCCCCCACTTCACCCAAAAAAAAAAAAAAAGAATCATTTTAGGCACCAATTACCCATTTCTTTGACATGCCTAATTACAAATAATTAAAAAAAGAAAGAAAAAAAAGAAAAAAGAAGAAATTATGCATATTAAGAATAAGAAATTATTTTCTACACATGGATGGACTTGGTTATGCTGTCCAGGAGAATAATACATTGGATCTCCCACAGCCTACAGGTTTAATATTTAGTGCTTCCTCTGACAAAATTATCACCAAACCCTCTCTCTTGATTCTATCACTTTTAGGCACAACCCAAAACACCTATTCATCTGTACTAGATCCCTCAAATTTCCCAAAGAACATACTTTTATATACCATCCTCTCTCTCTCTCTCTCTCTCTCTCTCTCTCTCTCTCTCCAAAGAACATTATGATTATTTAAATAACCCAATTTAATATTCATGGCCAAGTGCAATAGATTATATGATATGCTGTGGGTTGTATTTTAATCTACTTGTTGGCTAAAGAATCGAGTAGAAGGGCTAAAGATGAGAATCAAACCATGATCTTGGCAACGTGAACACAAACTTCAATACCAATGCTGACGGGACTGCTTCTCATAATTTACTACTTGGAAATTTTATTTTATTTTATATAGGCTTTGTTCATTAATATTATAGTTCAAGCAATTATATCTTGAACTTAAAATGTGATGCTTTCATATATGGAAGTGTAACTAATCCAAATTTATATGATCTAGCTGATGTGGTGCCATTTTGAGTTTTTACTTTGTTTTTGGTAGTGGATTCAACAGGGATTATTGTGGAAGAAATGGGGTGAAGTGAGTTATTTTTATATTTAAAGAATATGAAAGACTGAAATGTATAGAATCTCCAAGATGTAACCTTGTCTTGCATTGCAAAGAATAGTAAGATTTCCAATTTCTAAATTTCAACATTAGTTGACAATGGGGTGAAAAACGCACCCTAAATAAAGCCTCCCCCAAAAATTACAGATAATAAACCTGCAACTTCTACAGTGCTCCATTAGATTCATGATCCTATACAAGCTTCTTCTAACAAGGACATGCACAGAGCATTTTGGGGAGAGACCAATGATGACTTCCAAAACAGCTGTGTCTAGGAATTTCTATTGCTTCTACTTCTGAAAAACGGAGTAGGAGAAAATAACTATAAAAAAAAAAAAAGGAAAAAGAAAGAAGAGCAGTACCCCCGTTTTAAGGACATGGCGGAACATCATGCGTTGTTTTGTTCTAAAAGGAAAAGGAAAGAAGAGCAGTACCGCCATTTTAAGGGACATGGCGAAACATCATGCGGCTGTGTGATGCTTTACGACTTCTTTGTCAACAAAGCAAGCTCCTTTTCCTGCTGTTTCTTCAGATACCTCTGAGCAGTTGCATTCACAATCTTGACAAAGAAGTTGAATAGCATAAGCCAGACCAGAGTGTTCCAAATTGATGCAAAAGAGAAATCCCACGTTTTCACCTGGCAAGGATTTTAAATTAGACAAATTGAAATAAATCCAGCACCTGATATCAATCAACACCATAAGAAGTTAAAAGTCCATTTACAACAAGGATGCCTTATCAACAGTTGAGTTACCTTGATATTTGAGGATACAGAAGAAGCTGTGAGATATTTTTCTTTTGCCGCATCAATTTTGGCAATGAGGTTAGGCAGGACAGCAGCAAAACCAGGAATGAGACTGAAAACCCAAATCAATTCATTCTCTATCCAATTAAGAAGTTGATTGTTGCAAACTGAGATGATGAAGACCGTCTGCATAAAAAGAAAATAAACAAACAAAAACCACAAATCAGAAGCAAATAGGGAACATTTGGACAAGCCAAAAAAATATATATAATCAAAATATCTTATTCGAAGTAAGAGGTCTAAGAACAGCTTCACATAAATGGAACCAAAACATGGTCAAAACTGTGTAAGAAAAGGAACTTAACAAACCTGTAGATGAGTTTTAATAATTGCCTTTCCAATCACTGTTGCAAGGAAAAATTTCCAGAATGGAATACCAAATTGTCCACACATAATGCCAGCCAGGTCAAAAAGAGGATTTGGCACCTGAAAACTATCCCAGTTAACTGGCAGGTTACAATGAAAATAGTACTGCACGCAATTTTGAGATAAGCATAACAGTTGTTGCATTCTAAGATCAAACTAGAATTTCAACAGTACAAATATACTTGAGCACCAACTTTAATTAAAAGTTAGATTTAGAAGTTAGTTTAGAAGAGATACGATGATTCATGCAACTACTGGATGGTAATAGAAGTCCAAATCTCATTAATCTGTTAGCATACAACATGACACACACACACATGAATATTTGTGTAATATTAAAGAAGAAACACCAATTATCTGTAATGAAGAGGAAACTATAGAAATCATATGGCAAAGCATAAAAGGTCACTCTGATGAAACAAAAAGATATATTTTATGAAAGCCACTCTAGTAATGAAGAAGAAAGATGTTCAAACTAACCGAAGCAAGCACTAAGATTGTAAAGAAGTTCAACTGTTGTGAGTGTGATAGAAGCCAGCGTTTGACTCGGTTTAGATGAGTAGCTATGAATCCTGTTCCCTCATCTGAGGGGGCATCCAATTCTTCCATGCCATCCACTTTGTCACCAGATAAGCTTGCTACATGAAGCAGTAAACCAAAAGCAGACCAGAATTAGATACATAAATCACATAGATCATTGGATGAATAGTGTCCTCCATCCCTTCAGTCCATTTTGCCTGTATGACATCCTCGTACAAGCTAAATGGATCTTCATACAGTTTTCTTTAAAAAAAACCTTAGCACAAAAATCTTGGGTGTAGGACAGTTTATCAACCTACAACTTGTTCTGCTTACCTGCTCTTGAGATAAAATATGGAGGAAGCTCTCCAATTGCAGTCCCAACACCCCATAAAACAGCCTCTAGCTGGACCTGAGGTAATATGCTGCTAAGTGGAACCCGCAAACCATGTAATGATGGAAACAATGGGGGCCCAAATTCAGTGCAGTTTTTCCCAAGCCACGAAGGACCTCTTTTTAGCTGTATTGTATCGTAGGGAGCACTTTTTAAATCAACTCGACCACACTGCATCGCCTTTAAAGTAAAGAATGCAATATGAGGACCCAGATATAGGACAAACGTGTGCAAACCAGATCCTGAAGGAAAAATAAGCAAAAGAAGAAAATATTATGCTTCCATTCTATATCAGGGAGGTTATATCAATGCATACAACGAAAGATGTTGCTAAGTATTTAAAAACAGATATCCGAAGAGATGCTCATTCTTGTTCCATACTTTTTCCGTGTTTTAATAACTTGCACCATCAGAAAGCCTGATACAAAAACAACGATTCATATTTTTCATATTGCTTACCAAGACCAATTGATGATGCAACTCCAAGTGCCACCCACCATAGCCCGAACTGGAAATATTTGAGAAGTTCCTCAACATGCTGCAGAATCATTCCATCAACTTTTAGCATTTAAACAAAACGAATAAGATTAAATGCCAATACCAGTAAGAAATATCACGGTTAACCATCAGAAGGCTATGAATAAAATGTGCCTGGGCATTAACATCCTCACCACACAAAGTAATGAGCTTTAAGATTTTTCACAGCCTTTAAATATTTTAAAAATATTTGAATACTTTAAAAAAATAAATTAAGCATCAGTTTTGTGAAGTGACGCTACGAATAAAAAATTAAAAATCATTTAGTTAACAAAAATGGAGGTAGAGATTTGATGTTGGTTCATAAAAATAAGTATCCTTCAAGTAAGAAAGGGTTTAGTTAACGGTTAACCCTAGATTCACATCCTATTAGGAAGCAATATAATTACCATTACATAAGCAACCCTAAAAGAAATGAACATAATTTCAGCCAGAAAGATCTTTGGGGTCCATCTTAAGAACATAGCATCTTACCAAATATGATATCACTAATATAATCTACACATAAAAATACCTTCTCATGAGGGCCATCAATGGTCACTAGAAGAATTCCAAGTGACACTACGACAGTACTCAAAAGCACAAGCCAACCACCTTTTGCCAACAGATATGATATTGTACGCTTCACATATTGAACTACAGCCAAAATGAAAAACTTCAATGTTCTGAAGGGTTGTGTTGTTAGTGTCAAGTTTTCTAGTTCCTCTTGATGCTTCTCGCTGGGCCCTGAAACAATATGCAATTTTATCAGCGAAAAGTATTTAAGATGGAAAGGACCTTTCAGCTTCCTTTAGAGAGTGACGATGGAGAGTTGATTTCTTTTTCTTTCTAATCTTATTTACTACTAATCTCAGATAATATTGAAGCCTTGTTTACAAAGCGTGCACACAGAAAAAAGGGAGGGGGCGCGGGCAAAATAGTATTTTTCAGAATGAAGTTCTACATTCTCTACAAAATGAAAGTTTCAAAATTTATGAGAAAGAGAGATAGCAACTGTAACATTAACAAGTGGTGTAAGTATACAAGTTGAATGACCATGTCTATATCTCCAAGTTGGAAGCTTTTTAACTGAAAGATCACAGAAAAACATGTACCAAACAATTTCGCTTATCTAAACTAAAACGAACATTTATATCTTATGTTTTCATCGTCCTACTAAACTAAACACACTCTCAAAATCCGTTAAGACCAGAACCAACAGAATTGCAGTCTGTCAAGCATGACTGCACAAGAAAAGAGAAATACCCAACCCAATTCGTGATAAGCATCAAAAGCATTAACATTGTTTTGAATCCAGTACCTGCATAGCTTAGGAAATTAATCTACATAGTTCAGATCCTATTTCGCCTAATAGAAGTGTTTGCTTGAGGCCCTTTTGGCCTATAATGTTCTACTTCATTTTTCTATATGGAAACCACTAAATGAATTCTTCTATCACCTAACCCCCACCTCCATTAATAAACCAAAAATTCTGCTTTTCTCCAGTATATCGAAAACTTTGAGACCTAAGTTCAATTCATTTAAGTTTTGAATGAATGAAAACTCAAAAAATCAATAAACATGAACTTCAGACTTAAAACGAATTCTGGGTTCTCCAATTACAGATTCAGAAATTCCAGAATAGAACAAAAAAGCATAATGAATGAGAAAATTAGAGAAATTGAATAACTTGCCTGAGATCGAAAGTTCCATGCGCTGAGAGGACGAAGATGATGACGAAGAAGAAGAATTTGCTCGCTTACGGGACCCCATTAGAGGAGGCTCACATGCCAAAATCAAAAGCTCCCTCTTTTATTCATGAATAATATGAAATTTTCATATATGTTAATCTTCCTTCTTTTATTTTACAAAAAATAAAAAAGGGTTGTAAGAGAATAAGAGATTGGAGTGAACCCAGTGCTTGAAAGTTTGAAACTGGATCAAACAGTTGAATCAAAATTTCAGATCTAAAGGGCTCAAAAATAGAGAGAGATGGAGAAACCAAACATCCCCAGAAGTTTGCGTGAAGTGGAGCTTTTATACCTTATTTCATATATGAGTCCCCTACTCCACCATTAAAGACCAAAATGTGCGCGTGTTATTTGGTTTGTGAATATAATACAACTTTTTTTATATTTATTTTTCATAAACGACACGAATATATACAACTTATTACACTTCTTATTACCATCCTTTTTGTAATCTTCATTAGCAAAACAGTTTCTTTTTCTTCTTAAGTTTGCTAATTAATAAGGATGTATCCTTCAAATTGGTGAAGAAAAGTTTATTTCTTTTGCCTTTTTTTGTTAACTAATTTAGGGAATGCACCCGAATCATGAAAAGATTGGCCGTAAAATACTTAATACTCTTAGTTCATATTCAAATTAGTTTTTTTAGTATTTCAATCCAACTAAAATAAGTGTGTAGAATTTAACTTGACTCTTAGTTAGTAATGATATCCCTACATTACAATGATCTTTCAATAACATCAACAAAAAGCTTCTTTTATGATGTGATCTCTCAATGTCACTAAAATGATTTTGGATCCTTTATTAGCAACATCGACTTTGAAAATTAATAATATATATATATATATTTTAACTTAGATATATGCTAGTTTATTTCACAATAGTTACCCTTAAAACTTTTTTTTGTTCTTTTAAACTTCTAGTTCACTATTCATTTTTTAATTTGTACTCTCAAATCTCAATTGGACTAAGCACGTAGTGCTTACTATTTGTAATTTTTTTTCTCTAATTTTCTCTATATCTTAAACTAAAGATTAATACATGATGTATCATTTCTCTCTTAATCTTTGTTTTATTTTGTAATATTCCACTATAAAATTATTTCCAGCAGTCAAAGACTGTCAAAGTACAACTTCTGTACCAAGATCGGAGTGACATAAATAAATGGCTCAATAATAACATTCCATAATTAAAAGATGGTTGGCTGTTTCCATTCTAGGATAATATGACTCAATAAAAACATTCCATAATTATGTTGCAATTGCCTATTTTGTTTATTTATTTATAGCTATAACCTTATTTGCCGTGCCTTTCAGTGAAGTTGAGAACCAGCTTACTGAAAGGTCATTTCACCCATTTTTAGAGCCACACCATCTACCATGTGTTTTTTTGGCTATTTTTTTTTTATAAAGGAAATAAATTTATACTCTCCTTTTTTTCTTTGCTAAAAAAGAATTGTACCATGATTTAGAAGTCATTGCATTTGTTATTTCTGACTTGAAAGTTAAAACAACTGAATGGGCAATTGTTTCTTATTATAAAAAAAACTACAAAGGTCCACGATTCGAGCTTAAGCATTTGTGTAGTGTGTGTGAATTCAATATATTATCGTCATTCTTAATACGAAAAGTCAGAAAGAAAAAAAAAACAGAAAAGAAGTGGTCATTTTTGGTGATCGATATGGATTTAGTTTTGTGAATTGAGTGGTATCATATCGCATATGGACTTGTATAAAGGACAAGCATTGCTTGCACGCTTAGGCACTTTGTAGCTTTAGAAACAAGGGATAAAGATGCTTGTCTATGGGAATATCCCATTTTGTTATATGCTACATACATATAGCTACTTTATGTTGTTCTTTCTTCTAACATGCTAATCGTCTCATGCTAGTCGTGCACGCATAAGCATGCATATGCTAATTATTTTTTTATGCTATTAATTAGCATATATCGTATTCCAATATCATACAATAAATTTTCATATAAACTTCTTTTCTATTTGGGTTGTAACGCAATATCCAATATAGTTTTAAAAAATTATAATTTTTTAAGTTCAAACCAGTGAATAAATCAGGCTTCGGTATTCTTTTATTGATCACCACATGCCTTTCCCTCTTGGTCATTCTGTAGGTAAAGCTTAAAGAAAGGTCAAAGAAATGGCGTTATAGAAAGAGAGAGGTCAGAGAGAGAGAGATTTAGGGTAAAAACAAAATTGCAGTCCCTATATTATTATGCTACATAATTTATAATCTTCATGTATCTTTGACTTAAAATAATCCAGTTGTTAGGTGTTGATGTGATGACATAAATTATGGGTAAACTCAAATCAAAAACTAAGGTCAGCTTACAAGTCAAGTTCCACATTTCCACCATAATTGGTTCTTTTGGTCAACAAATCAAAAGGAGATGAGCAATTTTATTATGAATATTTGGATCCACGTGATAAGTGTTTCTTCTTTTCTTTTTCGGTTTTGTTTTATAGCGATTATTTTAAGATTAACAAAGGTGTCAAATCGAGTTGTTGTTTTTTCTGAATGGGTCAAGGAAATATGATGTCCAGGCCTAATCTTTGGCAAGCCTACTTCTTTGCAGGCCTCAACTCAGTGTGTGCTTTGTAGAACAAAGGCCTAGCTCAGCCCATTTAACTTTTGGATTGTTCATCAGAGTGTGAATTTTATTAGTTGGGGAATTAATGTTTTTGCCTAATTGTTGAAATATTATTGAGAGCATCTCTACCTATTTCCCAATTTGTTTTGTGTTAGATGCTCATAGAGACATATCATTAGAATTCTCCTTTATAAAAATTTGTGCGCGTTGTTGAATCCTACATACTTTCATCTCTTTTTTAATGTTATGTTTGGCCTACATGAATGTAAGGACGATACATATTTATGATTAGTTCGATACTTTAATCTCATTATGGTGGTGGTAGGGTGACTTTCTTCGATGTCACATCCTGTCAGCTCTTCAAACATAAGTAAAAAGATGTCATCGACCTAAAAATGTTTATTCATAAGAGTGATAATTGATAACAATACCAAGTTTTTGTTTGAGACAAAAGCGATGAAAGGATAACCACAAAGTGGGGACAACAATGATCAAGAGAATTAGGCAAGCATATTATTAATGTTAATGGCGCAAGATTAAATAAATACTCATGTAATGTTGGTTTATGATGTTTAATATGAGCTCGGTAATCATAGCATTCTAGGGAATATGTTAAATTCCAATGAGAAAATTTTCTCTCTCTTTTCTTTTTCTTCTTTTTTTTTTCCCTTCCTTTGAGGGGCATGTGGTGAGGTGAGGGTGAGGCCGGTGCTTTCTCTTTCGGTCGGA